CAGCTGAGCTGGCTACAAAAGCAAAAAACACAAAAAGCTAAGCACCACGAAGCACAGGGACGGGAATGAGGCTATCAGTTACTGGTTTACGAGGATTATCTCCCCGATTAGCCACATAGTAACAGGCTGTACTAGGCATCGCCCTGCAGCCCGGTGCCAGCCAACAACTCCCAGTGAACGCAAGAACGGGAGCAAGTGAACCGTAAGGTTATCGAGTCTGAAACAGGACTGCACGAAGGAGCCTTAGGGTTACTTCTAAAAAGCTCCAGATTGCAATAAATGCTGCGGTCCTGGGGGTAAAAAGTACAGAACAAAAGATCGCTGAAACGCAGTGTCCTGGTGCATGGTGGAGGGACAGAGGGAGAGTGGGTGCGCTGTGGCAGGAAGCAGACAGATTGCCTTTGGCAAGCATTGAAGCAAATACATGGTTCAGGGAAACCGTGCTATAAACGCAGTAAAACAAGCCAAATGCACATAAGACCAAAATGCTTAATCATAACCCTTTTCTTCCCCTATCCAGGAAAAAAAAAAAAAAAAAGGAAAAAAGCCAGGCCAGGAGCCAAAGATAAGGAAAAAGGAGAGACTGCAGAATCCAGAACCACAGCTGCCCAGCTCAATCAATCACTGCCTCCCAGCAGGCCAAGGGTTAACTGCCGCATTCTGTATCCAAGTAGCAGTAGGCAAACGGCAAGGCTGTGACGTCAAGAGATCTGGAAAATTTTTCCAGTGAAGGCTCCTAAGAGGTGCGAGAGTTGGTGGTAGAACACGGTGAGAAAGGAACTGTTGTAACCTGTTTTTTGTGCACCCCCCACCTTGTCTCGGTACTTAGCTTAACCACACTTGGCTCCTCCAACAACCAGAGCATTTTTACACTCATTCCTTGGACTCCAGATACCTAATTCTAACAGCTTAAGAAGGTACATAATTGAGGCGATAATTGAAAATACAAACAGAGCAGTGGAAAAATCAGTCCTTTCGCAAGCATCCTGATTAAAGCTGAATGAGACACAGCCTTTCCATTCTGCCTGACACCATAGCCTAAGAGAAGTGAGGGATTTTTCTCTTTTGCTTCAAGATGTTCCTTAGCAAAATCTCCCCAGTGACAGCTGAGAGGTCAGCTGGTTAGAGGACTGTGAACTAAGCAGGACCTATGCACTGGGCTCACCAACACAGATCACCAGGAGCTGCTCAAAGAAAAAAGCTAGACAAATTGTACCAACCAGCCAGGGTGGCATGGAGGGTAAATTTAGAGGCTTTTTTTTTTTTTTTTTTTTTTTGGTACTCTTCAGCAATTTTTCTTCCTTTAAAAAAAATGCAAGTAATATGGAGGTTTTCCAGTTAGAAAAAAAAGAGAGTACCCTTCAAAAAGGGTCACAGGCAAAAGGAAAGATTGGCCTCCTGGCCCAGCAGTAACCCTAACAGAAATCTACCAACGCCTGCATTAACTCAATACAAAGGTGGAAACCACAGGTGATTTGCATGCTGCCATTTCTCCAGCAGGTGACAGGCAAGGCTCCTGCGTCCATCTTGGTGAAAATCTACCTATAAGCAAAACTGAGCCAAGGGCAACCTGCCCTCGTCCCAAGGGCATCCATGTTGGGCCCAGCTCTGGAAAGGGAGCTTTTCCCCCTCAGGAGACAGCAATTGCTCTCAGTCTCTCTGCTCAGAGAGGGTGTCGTTTCTTACATTGCCAGAGAAGAGGAGACAGATGAGCTCAAGGCAAAACCTGAATTGTTAGCCCAGCACCTGCACCTTGGGAAAGAGAAGCAACCTAACAAGCACACCCATCCTGACGTCTGCGTTCATTAATCCGTGTCTTGGGACCTTGCTGAATGTGGTATCAAGACACCAATATTAATACACACACGTGCCTTCTCTCACATACGAAGGTGCTGCCCCATTACATGTCAGCTTAAGGAATAGGTCTTCCTATACTGCCTTACCTTCTAAAGCAAATATTATTCTGGAATTGGAACGAGGAAAGAAACCTATTTTATGAGAGGGGAAAACATCAGAGGACAAATTTCACAATATGCCTGGAATCCAGGCAGCCCCAGGCCCATGACAAGGCTGGGAACAGATCACCAAGGCTGGAGCCTCCCTGTGCATCTGGGAGAAGGGGGCCCCTTTGGCAGCGCACCCCCCAGGCCTCACTCAAGTTATGAGGAGCTGCCAGGAGATCGCCCTGGCCAGGGGCTGTTCACCCTACACACACCCCGAGTTCTTCAGGTTTGCCCTTCCATGGTGAGAAAACCGAGAGCTATCTTTATGCATGAGAAACTACGGGAGGAATCGTACTGAATAACACAGGCTCCCCAAAATAAAACAAAATATAAAATATGAGCCAAAAACCATCGCTTGAAAGACCTACATTTAACATGATTCAGGAATGCTTATGCTTTCCTGTAATACCTTGGAATGCTATTTCACCTTGACTAACCTTGAAGTGTGATGCATTTTTAACCCTTTATTTTCCAATCAAGAGAGACCCACTAAGGCCTGCATTTTTTTTTTCTCTGCAAGAATCACATATGCTAGCTTCTTCCAATTCAAAATGTCAGCCAAGCATTATTTCCCTGACTCATTCTGCTGTGATGGCCACAGATCCTCCCAGTCAGGAATACTGCATCAGCCCCTAGCCAGCACTCCCCCCGTGGCTGCAGTGGTGGTGCTAGCTGCAGTGGTGGTGCTAGCGGCGGTGGTGATGATGATGGTGAGGAGGATATTAGAGAAGGGGGGGCAGTGATGCAGGAGGGGGGAGTTCCCTTCTCTCCCTTCCGCAGTCACGACTCTTACAGATGTGCCTACAACTCTGCCCTTCAAAATGACCTTTAAAAAAAAATGTCACCCTTCCGGTGAAAGGAGGCGGAAAACAAGGTATCTAATTTTCAATGAGGGGGAAAAAAAATTCCATCCAGCCAAGCAACAGGCTGCCCCGAACCCTGTAAGGTGAGCTGCATCTACCTTTATGCCATTTATTTCTTTGACTCACCCTTCCCTGTAATCGAGCCAAACTACTTGTTCCGCATCTGTGTGCAGCCGCTGAAAACACCCAGACCTCACCACGTTCCCGGGGCCTCCTGGACTCTAGGGGAGGTCACTGGGAGACTCTGGACAGAGCAGGGAACACTGCGGTGTGGATGGATCCCGCCACCCCCACCCCGCGCCTTTGGGGGTACATTTGGGCTAGAAAGGGCTGGAACACACAACGTCGCCTGCATCCGACCCGATCACCCCCACGAGGTTCCCTCGTAGCCTCAAATCTCGGTTGTTAGGGCTCGGGCAGGACTACAGGGAGAGGCGCATCTAGCCTCCCGGAGGCGACCGTTCCCGGGAGGGAAGGGCTCGAGCGATGCTCGGACCGACCGCAAAGGAGCCAGACAAGACCTCGGCGTCCACGGAGGCCCCCGCCGGCGCGCGCCCGCGCCCACCCCGGGGGCGCCGCGGTCCGCAGCGACGACAGCGCCCGCGGCCGACCCCGCTCCGTGCCAGGCGGCCGGGGCTCGCGGAGCGGTGCGCGGAGCCCGCGCGGGGTGCGAAGGGCCGGCCCGGGCGCTGCGGGCGCGGGCGCGCGGCGGCCCCTACTTACACCAGCTGCCGCCGGTCCTGCCCAGAAACTCCTTCTTCTCCGAGTTCCAGATGAACTTCTTCCAGCCGCCCTCCTCCTTGGCTTTCCCGCGGGCCATGGCGGCGGCTCAGCGGCGGCCGCGGCGCTGCGGTGGTGAGTGCGGCGCGCGCTCGCGTGCTCCGGGCGCTGGCGGCCCCGGCCCGGCTCTCCGCAGGCTGCTCCGGCCGCTGCCGCTGCGGCTCTCCGAGTGCCAGACGCGCGCCGGCGGGGCAGAGGCAGGAGCGCGAGGAGGGGGAGGCGGCGGCGGGGGCGGAGGGCGGAGGGAGGGGCGCCGGCTGGGCGGCTCCGAGCCCCGCACCTATCGGCGGGCGCGCGGCCGCTCGCGGGCTCTGCTCGGTCCGCACGCGCTCCCCTCGCCCTGCGGGTTCGGGCGCGCGGCGACGGCTGCGGCTGCGGGGCCCCTGGGGCGCTCGCTCGCCCCCGCCTCCTGGGACCTCTGCAGAGGCGGCCGGGGGCAGGAGACGGCGGCGAGGACGGACAGACGGACCGCGCGCCGCGCCCTCCGCGCCGCCGGGAGCAGAGAAGCTGGCCCGAGCGCACGCCCCACCTTTACATATACCGCGCCCGGGCGGCCCGCGGCCCCGCCCACAGCGGCCCGGTCGGCCAATCGCGGGGGGCGGGGGCGTGGCCTAGGGCCCGAAGGGGCGGGCGCGGGGCCGGCACAAAGGAGCCGCGGCGGCGGGAGGGGCGGGCTGGGCAGCGGGGGCGCGGGGGGCGGGGGCGCGGCGGCGCGCGCGCAGGCGACCCCGCGCAGCCCCCTCCGCGCTCGCGGTGGCTCGCAGGCCTTCCTCTGCGGTGGTGCGGGGCACCGCACCTGCGTCGCGCGGCGCCCGCCGGACGCCCGGGGCCCGCGGCCCAGCCGCCCCGCCCCGACCCCCCAGCCCGGCCCGCTCGCGGCCGCGCGCCGCCCGTCTCCCTCCGCCGCAGGTCCACCCCTCGGAGGCCCTGCAGGGGTGGGGGAAGGTCACTCGGGGACGCGTGAGAGTCGGGGAGTCCGCCTAGCCCCGCCCCGCCTCTCGGCTGCTGCACCTGCCGCCCCCCGCGCGCTACCCGCCCCTGCGGCTGCGGATCCGGCCGGTTGGTCTCCAGCCCGGCCCGCCCGCCCGCGCAGGCTCCCCGCCGCCTGCCGCGCTCCCCGGGGGCGGCCCGAGCCGCCTCGAGCAGGACAGTCGCAGACCCACCCAGGGCGGATCCCGGGGTGGGCAGGGCCGGGAGGCCGCCCGCGGGGTCCCCGGGTGTCCTCCCTCGGAAACCTGTCGCAGTGCGCGGCGGCTCACACCGGTCTACACCGGACGACGGTGTTTGCACATGACCCAACCTCTGCGGACTCTCCTCGATGCCCAGTAGGTGGCCAGGATTCTCACTGACCTGCTTTCTGATGGCCCCTGGGGAGTACCGACCACTTTGCTCTGCTGTAAAACCCCTGAGGACCAACGAATTTAGGAAGACCCAGCTCGAATGGCAGGACGTTGAGGGCCAGTCCCCCTTCCCATCCCTTATTCCCTGTGGCTGAAAAGCCAGACTCCTTAGTCTCCTCTCTCTCCTCCGAACCCCTGAGCGGCTTCACACATCCCTCCCAGGGCAGCGGTGACACAGCAGAAACGGGCAGGGGTGCCTCTGCGGTCACTGCAGAGAAGTCCCATCCCCAGAGAACAACGTAGGTCGTCCTGGAAAAGGAGGCTTGCAGGCCCACGCTAGGGACGCTTGTCAGGGCCCCCTTCTGTCTCCAAGGTCAGCCTTGCAGATCTAAGGACAAGCCCCAACTGCTTTGAAACGAGCCCTTTCCCACTACCCCTTCCCAAGGCCCACACCCACAAGACTTGAAAAGCCTGAAGATCCCCGAAATTCAAAGAAGCAACGACTGTCCCCCCCTCAGCCCACCCCAGCCCCAGCGGACTGCTAGGCGCTGACCGCGGTGAGAACAGTGTGGAGAAAGGAAGCCCCCACTGCTTTGCGCCTGGCCTGCCGTGCGCGTGCCTGAAAAGCCCCGGCTTGGTGGGAGAACTGCAGACACAGGCGCCCCGGGCAGAGGCGCGGCCCCTGGTCCCCTCCCGGGAGAAGTGACCTCGCGGAGGAGTCTCCAGGAGGAGAGCTCACCGGAAAGGGCGTGTGTTTAGGGAGCGCTCCCCGCGAGCTAGAGGGAGCAAAGCCTGCGGGCGGAATCAGCAAACTGGGATGAGTGAGGAAGGGAAGAGGCAGGGGAAGGGATGAGGGGGTAGGGGAGATAAGCATGCCCCCACCTGACCCTTCCCCCTCCCTGTCTCACCCTCTCTCTCCTCCCGTGAAACAAAGTATGTGGAGAAAGGGTGACAGTGACAGATTTTTCATTAGGACCCCCATTCTCTCTTTAAAAAGAGGTTCCCTACCTCAGCTTTCTAGGGCTGTGGCAAATGCCAAGTAGACCGGTTCTGTGTCTGGCCAGGCTGAGCTTCCTCTCTTGTCCTTGACCTACTGTGCTCCTCTGGAGGCTGCTCCCTCTTCAAATCTGAGCTCCCCAGCTTTGCCCATTCTGCCTCCCCCACGTGCAGACTCTCCCCAGGTTCTGACAAGGGCTGAGCGTCGTGCCTTCACAGCCGGTGCAGCCTCTCAGCCTCTCCCAAGCCAGCCTCTCGCGGGCGTCCCGGGAACCTCCACATTCCCACCCCAACCTGTCGTGCAGCTGCAGAACAGCATCTCAGCCATGTGAGACCCCGAATGAGACTCAGCTGCACGGCCACGCAGACGGTCCGACCACATCACCCCAAAGAGCACCATGCCGCAGAGCAGGACAGACCCACTCCCAGCTTTAGTCCTGGCTCACTGTGTGACCTTGGGCAAGTCCCTTGTTCTCTCCAGGGCTGCCCCTTCTTCACTGGTAAAATTGGAATGACATTGTTGCGAGGATTAAATGGGGGTTGTGGGAAAATGCTAAGCACAGTGCCTAGCACCTAGTGAAAGCTGTTAAATAGCTTGCTTAAGTATAATCAGCTCTTTCCATTTGACCTTGTCTAACCTTGGAACTGCTGCTATGACTTTGCCGCCTTCCCATTCTGATACCTACCCCCCGCCCGGACTCTCGAGTTTTCTTAGAAGGTCACCTTGACTAAGTCCCTGCCCTCTATGCCACCTGTCCCCTTGCTTTCCAGCGTGCTTCTTGCTCGGTGACCTCTTCTAACTCAAGTAATGAGTAACTTGAGCACAGGATGTTCCTTTGGGAGGCTCGGGCCGGGCTTTTGTTCTGAGGCCCCTTCTGTGAAGGGTGCTGTAGCAGCGGCTTGAAAGCGGAAAGCATGCAGTTCCCTGGAGGGAGGGGTGCCTCTGGCAGGTGCAGCGTGTGGCTGGGCAGGGGGTGGGGGAGGGAGGTGTGGGCAGAGGGAACGAGGAAAGCTGTTCGGTGGGTGCATGCCTGCGGAGGCCTGACGTCTCTCTGCAGAGAGAAGGAGGAAGGAGTTCTTCAGCTCTTTTGAAAGACTCCGGGCAAAGAGAACAATGTTTCCATCTCTTTTTCTAGGGAAGAGGAATGGTTCTAGAGTGATGTGGTTAGTTCTGCCCAAGGTGGGTGCTGGGCGTTGGGGCGGGTAGGTGGGAAGCAGAGAGAAGCGTGGAGGCAGAGAGTGGAGGAGGTTAGGGACCTCTGTCCAGGTGAGGATGACGGGTTCTAACTGGGGAAACAATCAGAAACGGTTGAGATTGAAGCAGACTCTCCCTGGAAGCGCCAGGACAGATCAGCCCCTGGCCGTCTGCTCCTTCTGCTGCAGGGCAGAGAGGCTGAGAGGGAGGTTCAGCTGCCCGCAGCCCAGAGGGTGCTGTTTGGCAGGCCGCACGCGGGAGACAGACCCCCTGCCAAGCGGTGGGCTCTCACAAGGCTTGGGCCAAACCCAGTGCAGTCCGCTCCGCAGAGGGCTCCGAGGGCCGAGCTGCCCATCCCCCGTGGGCACACGTGCTCACGCCCCGCGGGGTTCTGCTCGGCCAGCCCCAGGGTATTTTAAGTACAGAGTGGAGGGGCTGCGGGTGTGTGTCGCTCGGTGACTCATCTTGGCAGCAGAAACCGTGCGCAGCGTTGGGGAAAATGGCTCAATGGCGGGCTCTGTGTGCGGCAGAAAGCTCTGGAATGTACTGCTCTGGGAGGGAGGGCCGGGAGGGCAGGAGGGGAGGGGGAGAGGAGGCTAGGGAAATGCTGCTGGACCCTCACGGTGGACCCATCACGGTGGCGGGATGCGGGCGATGCCAGGGGAGCTCCCGCCACCGGCCTGGGCTGAGCGCCCTGTCCATCCGGAAGCCTGAGTGCCGCACAGGGTGTCATTCTGTGGTTCACAGTGGCCCCTGGCTGTTTGCTGAAAACAACAAATCATTCTCTGGAAGGGTTTTGGTTTCTTAAGCAAACCAGAGACCCTCAGTGGGGACATGTAGAAGTATCCCTCTTTTTCATTGAGCGTCATTCTGTCACTTTCCTCTTGCACTTGGTGTGGAATGGAATTCTTGTCCTGGGTGAGGGCACAATAGGACAATAAGGAGAAAGGACTTTTTTTTTTTTTTTTTTTTTTTAAAGCAAGGCCTCCTTGGTAAGATGGGCTGTACCTGCCAGGAGTGGCAGTGACAGGTCATCTGCTTGTCACCTTGGCCACCAGGCCCTGCCTGGCAGATTTCCAGAAACTGGGGTCCGTTACACCATTCCTAACTTGTAAGTCAGGAATCTGGAGAGTTCAGAACACATCTGCAGTCCCGTGGGCCATGCTGGGGCTTCTCTCCACCACCCCTGTCCTTTACCACGTTGTTACAAAGTGTATGGAGGTGACCACAGTAGAGGGAAGTGGACGCCCAGAGGATTTTTGTTTTGATTGTTCTAGCAAGACCACGGAAGTGGATGGTTTCTGTGAGCATATTTGCAGCTTGGGGGGTGGTAGGAATAAAGGCCAGCAGGGCCACAAACTCCTGTCAGAACCAGCCTCTCTGCTCCTTTGCACCTCCTCAGTACAGGGTAAGAGGTTCAATTTGCTTTTTCCTTGGAAGAATGTCTGGAACCAACCAGTGCATGCTCTAGGCTTTAGAAAATAAAATTTCTTTCCAGAATTTTCTATCTGCTTTACAGGGGACAAGTGGACACTCCTGTGAGAGGCTAAGCTCAGTGAGGGGTGCTCCT